ACACTAAAGCTCGCAGCAGTGACGTCACACTTGTCAGACATGGGGGCCTTTTACCCATTTAGATGAACAATCTGAACCGACTAGCTCAAGTATATTAAACACCACACTGCCCCCATATATCAGTACAAGCTTGTATATTTCCTCCTAAGACCGCAGAGACACCTCCACGTGAGTCTCGAAAAGTACTCACTGGTCTGTTAAACTGCGCATGTGGGTATATGAGGTTCAGCGTCCCGGAGTGGGCACACACAGCCCCTGTTCGTTGACGTGAGGGACATCAGTGCCACGAACTCAAGTACTAAATATAACCTCTTTGGGGCCAAAAGCTTTCACTGAGGCTAGAACAGCACCTGGTCATGGAAGGATAGTGCCTCTATAAATAAATCATTGATGGTCAGCTTTCACTGACTGCCCTCAGATCCTGCTCGACGGCATCGACATCCGGGACCTCAACGTTCGATGGCTACGTCAGAACATCGGGCTAGTCAGCCAGGAGCCCACTCTGTTTGCCACGACCATCGCTCAGAATATCCTGCTGGGTAACGACCGTGCCAATATGGAGGACGTGGTGCGAGCCTGCAAGGACGCCAACGCCTACGACTTCATCATGGACCTACCTAAAGTAAACCTCACTGGCTGTGCCAGATTCTCTCTGTGCCTCAATGCATAAACCTATCAACTCGCATTTTTTTAAGTGTCAGTTTGTCAGTTTGAAGCTTTTAAAATTATATAATTGTTATTTATTTTTTTTATTTATTTGTTTATAATTTATTTATTTATTTATTTATGTATTTATTTATTTATTTATTTATTTATTTTCCGTGAAAGGGAGTTGTAGCCGCTGCCGGTCAATTTTCTAGAGGCCTTTCCCCCCATTGCCTTCTATTACAAACTTGCCTAAGGTATATTCTTACCAATACTAGGGAAAACATATTGAAACCTCTATCTACGAGCCAAATGCCCCCCCCCCCCCCTTTCCTCTTTTTTTCCCTCAAAAGAGAAACATTACAACATCCCATCAACTGGATCTATTGCTTTTGTCCTTGGGTTACGTAGTTAATGGGTGACGTAACTGGACAAAAAAATAATAAAGTTTATTTTTTTTTTTTGTGTATACTTTTTCGTGTGTGTGTGTGGGAGGGGGGGGTTTGTTGATTTACACGGGTATTTTTAGCTCTCCGTTTGTACTGCTTCGTCGGTAGGTAGTGTGACAAAGTGTTATATGGAAGAGTCTTTGTCTTTTTCTTAATACTAATCATAGACTTGGATGATAATATTCTAGATCACGTATCGTCACGGCTCTGTGTGACAACTTTGCTGCACTGGTGGACACCACGGGCGCGAAAATGAAGGACAAAACACCAGTCTGGTTATTGTCGATTGTCGAGTGCCGATTTAAATGGTACGCTCCATGGTGAACTGGAATTACGACAGAGTGCACAATTTCGGATATTATAACCCATGCCTTAGATACTAATTATGAATTACTAACAACGTTCATTTCAACTAAATATCAAGACAATAATTTGAACTATAGCAAAATAAAATGAAACTAATTTTTTATTTATTGAGAGTTACATCTTTCAAACGCTTTGATCGGGACAACGAGAACCAAAATGCGGACGACGTTAACATTTTCTTTTTAGTTATAGGAAGAGCCAGTATTGAGGCTAATCTGCCTGATAAAGAAGAATTGAACGTTCTTGATGGTGTATTCAACCTATTTCAGAAATTTCAAACGTATGTTGGGGAGAGTGGAGCTCAACTGAGTGGGGGTCAAAAGCAAAGGATTGCCATTGCCCGGGCATTGATCAGGAGCCCCAAGATCTTGTTACTGGACGAAGCCACGTCAGCGCTGGACACGCAGAGCGAGGCGATCGTTCAGGACGCCTTGGACAGGGTACGAGGACAGAGTAACAAGAGTGCGGTCAAAAAATCGTGGTGCAACTTATCCTCAAATATCTCTTTAACGGGTGAATCACTATGATCCTTATTTTGCACAGCAGTTTGCATAAATTTGTTTTAACTAAATCATGTTGTTCTACAACAACTGAGGATATATTTTTTTCCTTCAGAAATTTAAATGGCGGGTGATTAAAAGGAATACGCCAAAATCATAACACGATTTTTAAAAAAGGAAAACCAATAGAACACTCTAGCTTGGACACAGTGTTTTACACACATTAAAGTTTTTATTTCATGTTTTACAAATGCTCAATGTGGCCACCACCGGCATCACGGACAACATCAAGTCAATATGAGAAGTCTTTCTAAACGCACCTCAGGATGTCTCAGTCCAGCCTGTTGATTGTTGCTGTTACTCGATCTCTCGTGTCATTGATATTCGCTGGAAGTGGTGAAACATAAACGTTATCTTAAAGCATACCCCCCACAAAAAGTGGCTATTCACTTTACTGCTTGCAGATTCGAACAACTTCATTTTTCAACAAGATGGAGCACCACCCCATTGGCATCTCGGCGTTCGAGCTAACCTGAATGAAAACGTGCCTCAACGGTGGATTAGTAGGAAAGGTGCTAAAGACCTTGCTCTCTGCAGTTGGCCTGTCAGATCCCTGGACCTCACTCTGTGTGATTTTTTCGGGGGGG